GAGAAGTTGCCGGAGGGAGCGCGAAGTGGGAGACTGCGGAGCCCAACAGGCAGGTCCTCCCGTCCCGTCCCGTCCCGTCCCGTCCCGTCCTTCCCCTCCTCCCCTTCCCACCCGCTTTGCGCTTTTTTTTTTTAAATTTGAAAACATCGCGCCGCAGTTTGGGTGCAATCCAGGCGCTTTGGAGCGCTTCCTCACAATTTCGGAGATGAGCAGCCGTAAGGAGCTGGCCGGGAAGGGGCGTTCATTGATTCAAAGGGGAGGGAAGCGGTGCAAGCGTTGCCCCCCGCGCAGGAGCGGGTGCGGACCGACCGGTCTGTTTTCGCCTCCTCCAGTCAGCTCCGGCGCTTCGGGTCCTTCAAAGCCCGAGTTCAAATTGCTTGCGCCTGTCGTTTGCAGAGGGGAGGCAGGTATGGAGGTTGTAAAAGCCGTTAGGAACTCGTAAAATTAGCAGCCCCCGTGCGCTTGAGGGGAACGCCGTTAGAGAAGTTGCTGACTTCCGAATAGCGGTGGCACCAGAAGTTTTTCTCCTTGCGATGCAGCCTGTCACAGCTGGAGGTTTTCTTTCACCCTGCTCCGCAAAGTTATCCTCTCTGGGAAGGGACAGTTTCGCTCTGTAGCTGTTATTAAAGAAGATGTGTGTAGTTAGAAACGGTGTGTGTGAAGAAACAACTTCCCACTCCAGCAGTCGATTCTAAGGAAACTTTTAATTTTGTGCTTCAAGAAACCTGATTGCTTCTTGGATTACTTTTCTACCTTGGTCTAGAAGGTATGGTAACGCTGCCAGATGTTGTGCAAAGCATTCTGCTTTCAAAATTGTTAGAAGTTAATAATACTGTGTTAGAAAAAAACCTGTAGCTTATGGTTGCAAATTATCTCAAAAAAGTGATGTTTTGTGGAATGCAAGAATTTTTAGACTGGTATGGCCACTGGCTTAAACTATGTAAATTATTGCAGAGGAATGTAATGTTGTTTCTTTTTTCTTTTTTTTTTTCTTTTTTTTCTTTCTTTTTTCTTTTTTTTTTTCTTTTTTTTTTTTAACATTCACGGAGTCTGCTTACACATATAAGTGCAAGTAGTGTTTTCAGAGGACTTTGTGTGGGGATCAAAAGTTAGAATGAGAGCTTCCTGACTATGTATTTTTCTTTTCAATAGCTAGGTGCTACCAAGGTCACATCCATATGCATTTGCTGTCCAGCCATACAAAAAACACCCAAATGAAATAAACCAGGTATCTAATCCTGATTATATTTCATGCATTCCCCTTAACAACCCATTTGCTAAACTTTAATAGTCTAGTTTTAAAATTGGAAGCTGTAATGCATTGTAAGGGCCAAATCCTTTAAAAGACGCACTTTGTTAGCTTCAGTTGACTGCTCACATCAATTGTAACTCACATGCATACTTCAATACCGTATAGTATGACTCTGTATTGAACATTATCAATGATCATTGAAAAGTAAAGAAAAAGCATATTAATATAATGCATTTAGAAATAAGTACTAAAATTCCTTCCAAATACTTGGAAAGACTTTATCTAAGCAGGGGCATGTTCTGAGTGGCTTGCGGCACTGCTCTCTTGCCTTGCTAGTGAATCGCATAGTTTAAGGTGTTCAGAGTCTTAGTGAAATAGAAAAATTAAGGATGGGATGGCTTTCTTATATGAAGTAGTTGCTTCTGAACTTTCCAAACCAAATTTTTGCCCTTAGGTAACTTTGTTTATTCTTCTTTCTTTTCTCCAATGAGGGAAATTGTAAGTCAAAAAAGTGAGAATGGATTTGTTCATGTTACCATGAAAACACTCGGTATTCCTCTTCATGGGTTAGTATAACAGTAGCATGCAGCAGTTCATACTACGTCCCTTTTCCAAAAGGTGTCATTGCTCACCTGCAGAAGCTTCTAATATTGACATGGTCTGCTTTGACTTTAACTCATAAACATTTGGCTTAAAATTGAATAAAAAATACAAGATATACTGCTTAGACTGCCATATGCCCCCACCCCCTCAAGATAACTCAATCCTTAGCAAAGCTCTACCAAGTTTTAGTTTGATGGCTGTATGCCTTATTGCTTTATCAAAGCCTTTGAAACTGCTGTATGTGGACATGAGAAACAAAGTGTAGACCAAGTGCAAGACCAAGAACTCTTAAAATGATAGCTGCCCTTAGCAGAACTGCGTGGGGGAAGCGTCTAAAATACTGCAGAGCTCTGCACTTTCCTTAGTTCATGTTTCTATTATCCCAGACTCGCATCCAACCGTAAAGATTTTCTCACAAATATTAATATTGGTGACTATCCATGTGCTCTTTATTTTTCTTTCTTTTTTTTTTTGAGTAAAGTAGCCTAAACTCAGAATTTATAAACTGCAAGTTTATAAAAAAAATAGAAATAGAAATTATATCCCTAATGATAAGGTAAATTTAAGATAAAAAGCCAAGGAGAAGGCAGGTTTATCCACCGAGTGAGAAGACTGACCAGAATGAAGTCAATGGAAGTCCAGTGCTGGACATCCTCAGGAGCCAGGATTTCAAACATAATGCACTGATACCTGCACGCGTCCTCTACCTCCTGAGTACAGCAACAGGGACGCAGAGGCATAATGTGGTATTGTACTGACTGTCCTAATTCAGTCAGGAAGAACTGGTGGACCCCAGTAATTAAAGAGGGATCACTGATCTCTCTGACCCAACGTAATGATGGGAAAACAGGGCAGAGGACTCTTGTCTCTTTGCCCTTCATGCTCCCAGTAACTGAAGAAGCTTAGGCACTGATCCTGCGTGCATCATTTATCCCAGCTGAGTATTTCTCAGGGCAGCTACTTAACTCCAAGTGAGCAAAGTGAGTTGCTGTATTTTTAGTAGGTCCCATACTCAGGAGTTGCAGTAGAGAGACAAGCTTGTCATACACCTGTGACTTTCCACCTCAGCTCCCGGCTGCCAGTGCTCACTCTGGGAATGGTCTGGTTGCACGTTTCCTCATATAAGCATGAATGACACCTTTGTCATTTGTGTTACGTGCAGTGTACAATAAAAAATGCGGTAGTCTCCATCTTGCTGTTACTGTAGCAGTTTTCCTTTCCCTTGCGGACCTTAATACCGAAAACCTGGTTTGCTTGCCACTTCCACTGCATAGCAATGCAGAAATGTAAGTGGAGAATGAATCCGCAGAGTTTTACAACAATGCAAAACTTGTTTCTCATCATTAAAATTGGATAACTCCAAAATGCAGCCAAAAACATTTCCAGACGTATTTTATTTGAGCTTGGGAACTTCTTACTCTAACACCACAATCTTGCAGAAGACAAGGAAATGGGTCCAGTCTGCATTTCAGCAACAGAAAACAAGGGCATAATGAATCCTATGCTGTTCTGGCAGATCATTTTTGGCAATGTTTTCTTAAAAAGTCCAGAGGATATCAAAAGTCATGGATTGCAGCCTAATTGTGTGGCTCTTTGTCAGGAAAAACTTCCACTGAAGACTTGTGGGATTTTTTTGTTCTCCTATTTTATGTGCAAGAAGAGCTGGGTCCATAGCGAATTTTATTGTTTTTCAGTCAAGATTCACATATGTACTTGATTACATTTTGACCAGTCATTACTTTCTACTATTATTAAAAGTAATAGAATTAGACCAAAGAAAACATAGTAAAGTAGTAAAATGTAGTGTAGCAATAATGGGACCTTTGGAAAAAGTTGTCATCCTTATGAGCGTAAGGCAGGATGCACTGCTGGCACTGTGGTGGGCTCCCCTGGAATTCCCCTCCCAAGCAACAAACCCCACTTTTCTAGGAAGTATAAAATCACACAGAAAGAAAGGTTTGGGAATAATTTTTTCTTCTCAGAATCCTTCCCCCCCAAAAAAGAAAGGAGAGGGGAGAAGGCTGTGCTGCTGGACAAATGCCATTGGGTTAAATGCAGTTGCTAGATGCCCTCAGAAGGATACTGGGAGTATATTATGTCAGTTGAGGAGTGGAAGGTACGGACTCTCATCGTTTTTTCTGGGAGTATGCTTCTTTGGGAAGCATTTTTAAATGCTTAACTCAATGCGAGAGTCAAAAGAGGATAAACCTATTCCTCACTGGTATTTTTTTCTGTAATCCAAAGATATTTTTTTTCCACCGCTGGAGGGGAACAGCATTTAGAGATGAGTGTGAACTCCATCTGAGGCAAGATAGGCAGCCTCGGTCTTGTCAGCTTTATGGCAACTTTTAAACAGGAGGCTACTTTAAATAACTTCTACTCATCCAAAGTAGCTGCAGGAGTTTTATCTCCCTAGTGGCTATCCAGCAAAATGGACTGACTTCAGCTGGGAAACTCCCTGCTTCCAAGGTCAACTATGGTTTGTTGTCCCTACATCTGTAATCTATACATGAACATAACTACAGCTTGGAGTCAACAAGAGTTTTGTTTGCTTCCTAAATTTAAACAGAATTATGTTAGCCCCCGTGGATATGTTGTGATGCATCTTTATTAAAGCCCAAGAACTTCTGCCTCACCCTTCTCCTTTAAGACATACCTTCCTCCATGCTTTAAGATGGTGAACAAGAAGAGATTGCAGGTTTTTTTGTACTAAGCAGGTCACTGCCAACACAGTGTGGTGACTGCAAATGTAGGTCCTAGTCCTGAAAAGATACATGCATGTTCTTGGCTTTATTTGTACCATTGCAAATTCACAGGGATAGGTTTGGGACCTGCATGGCATGCTCATGCTTCTTGTATAAATGCCTCAAAAGGCCATTCAGACTGCAGTTTTTGAAGAGCAGTCACACTGAAATTATATTTTATTTTAAGCAATGGGAACTGTCCACTTCTTTAGCTTATTTTGAAGTATATTTATTTCATGTGAAAGATTTACATTTCTTCTTCTGATCCCAGTTGCTCTAGCTTTCTCAGTAAAAGAGAAACTTGGTCTGTAAGATAGGTCTGATTCCCTGCTGCATTGCTTCATTTTTCCACTTGTGTCAACTCACAGAGAACAGTGGAGCAATTGCAATATAAAGCTGGAATTGTCCATAATGGATTGGGTCCAAAATATTTGCAAAAGCAGAGTGAGTTAACTGAAACATGTAGTGTGGAAAAACTTGCTAATTCATTTCAATTATAGTAATTTTAGGAGTTATTTTTAGGTTTATTTAGGGGAAAAAAAAATCACACAGATCTCTAATATGCTTATTCAGGCTGATAATGTCCTTTAATAATCCGTAACAGCTTGAACAGTTTGAAGGGAAATTAGGAAGCAATTCTGTGATCATGAAGCAGAGTTATTGAAACCTCCTATAATTTGGACAAATTGACTACTGATATATTGTTGGGGATATTTGGCAATAACAATTCTAGACATAAAGGGATCCTTTTATGTTTTCTCTATTGCATATTTAAATATGCTGTGCTAAGGACATCCTACGCTTTTTAAACCATATATATATATGGATACAAA